ATTTCTGGATGCACCCTCTCCACCCCACTCATGCTTTTATAGACCTCTATCATATCCCCCCCTCCATCTCCTCTTTTCTAAGCTGAAAAGTCCTAGTCTCTTTAGCCTCTCTTCATATGGGACCTGTTCCAAACCGCTCATCATTGTAGTTGCCCTCCCCTCTCCCACCCTCTCTCTTCCCCTCTCCCACCTCCTTTTCCCAGTCTCTCCCAGTTTTGCTCAATAAAGAGAGATTCTATTTTTGAACACACGTGTCCTTTATTTTGTACATCAGGAAGGGGGGCTAGGGAGGGGTAAGTGGAAGGAGGGGAGGGAGGAGGGGGGTACGAGCTCCCGATGCGGAGGACTGGGGTGGCTCTGCGGGCTTCTGGGGGTGGAACCTCTCCTGCAGCCCCCCCGATTGCCCCCTCTCCCCAGATGGCAGCCTGCGGCAAGTGCAGCCGGTCTGATGGCCGAGTGCTGTGATGTGCCCAGTGTGGGTACTCCGGGCAATCCAAGCCAGGACTGCTTTGCAGGCGAGGAACCCTGAGAACTGTCTGTCCGGGATGGGGGTCGGGTCCCTTTAAGCACAGCCCTCGGCTAGCCTGAGACAGCAGCTCCACGCTCTTAAGTCCTCATCTGATGCCCTGCCGGCACTGCTTCCGGCCATCCTTAACCCCGGTTCAGGGTCCACTCTGTGTGGACAAGCTAGTTCGAATTAGCAAAACGCTAATTCGAACTAGTTTTTTAGGCTGGATGCGTTAATTCGTACTAAGCTAATTCGAACTAAGTTAGTAGACATACCCTCAGATATTTGTGCCACCTACCAGTAGGCTCACAAAATGGGAATAAGCTATTGTCTCCTTTAAGTTGTAAATATAAAATCAGAAGAAATATTAAGTAATAAGGCAATGTGAGGTTTTGCCTGTGAAAGAGATCAGGCAAACTCAAACACTATTTCCATGAGCCTAAGGTGCAAGATAAGGCCAGATAAAGGAATAGTTATATTTACCAAACAATGAAATATTTTCATCTATTTAAGACAATTTTTTACACAACATGTGGCAGTCTGAGTTTTTTGGATAGTAAAAGCTAAATTGTAAAATCCATGATCATTGTAAAATTTTCTTTAACCTGTAATTTACTAATAAAAGTTTAAAGAAAGTTTTGTATCTGTTCTCATGGTATTGATAAATTATATAATCTAAAATATTAAAATATAGCGTGTTGTTTTATTCAGTTTAAACTTAAAGTGCATATAAGTAACTCTGAGTAAAACTCAGAGTACTACATAAACCTAATAACACAGCTCTTTGAACAATTATACAAAAGTTCCACAGTGGGTTTGATGCAACTTGATTTCTAATAACTGCCTTATGGTTGTCTCCTTCCTTTAAGAATAGGACAATAGCAGCAGGGTGCCTGTACTAGTGACCTTTTATCTGTCCAAAGGCACAGGAGCTGAAAGATACTTCACTGAACTGTCATGAAGTTATCACTGTGTATCTCCAGGTCAAAAGTACATAAGCAGCAGTATGTTAATATTGTGTATTCACCTGGTGATCTGTTCCATTTACCTTTTGGCTTTTTAGTCACACAAGCCATTAAGATTAGAAGTTTTGATCAACCTTAAGCTGTCTTTTTCAAAAGAGATTGTCTGTTCCTGTAGCGTAACCATGGAAACAGACAAGGAACCCTTAAAGAAAGTGATCGAACATGCTGTGCTAATTAATCCTATCCTACATTTTCCTTCAGCTGAGAGATGTAGTTAGATAAATTTTGCATGAGTAAGCATATTTGGATGCACAAATGGCATAAAATATGTAACAATTTCTTTACAGAAGAATATTTGGAAAACTGGTAACTGTCATTTTTCTTCATCTTTAGTGCATCAAAATAAGAAATACTGTCTTGTTAGTTTCCCATATTTTTGATAGTTTTGTATTTAAATAAATTGTAAATATTTCTAAAGGGCAAAGATATTCTTGCATGCCTTGAGATTATCCAGAGCGCATATACTGAGTTTGGACATAGGAATCTAAATGTGTATAATTTCATGTGCGTAAGTTACAGTCTCAGTTACTTCGATTGCACTTGCAGTTTGGCCAGTTAGTCGCCTAATTTGTCTACATACACAGCTAGAAAAATTAGGCCATCATTGCAAACACAAATTGATTCTTGAGCCCATCCAGTGCTATTTTGCTGCACCGAAGAGGCTAAACACTAGAACTAAAAATGCCCTCAACAATTTTAGGATACAGTTTTCTTACATGCTAAGGCTCTATTAATCATTTTTCCTTTCAGTAGTGAAACTGAACTTACACAGACAATTGTGTGCAATGTGCATTTCTGAAAAAACTGGTACTCCTGCCAACACAGAGTTCAGTGCAAGAGAAGATACTGGACCGATTTATGGCCAGGGAGACAGATGAGAAAATGTCAGAACATGTAAAATTGAACCCAGAATGATTATTAATGTCTGAAATGTTTTTATTTTCAAAATTCTGATGCTCTAGTTAGACTATCCTCCTACACATGTCTAATCTGTATAATCAGTAGATAACCCAATCTCTGCACAAAATTTTGCCAACGTTACTATGGTAATATATTCATTGGGATTAATTGTTCTTAAATCACTTCTTCAATGTATTAAGTATAAAAGTGCCAATGCATTTTGCTTCGACTTCAAGCACATAGTCCTTAATTTTCATTTTTTGTTTTAAAAATATTTAGTGCTGATCAATATTGTAGATACTTTTTACAATTTGTAACATTAAATGAAAGTGTTTTGGTTCTCCTTTAAATTGTTCAGTGAGGTACCAGAACTTATAGGGACCTTCTATTTTAGTAATTTAATTGTCTTTTGGAAGGAAGTTATCTTTCTTTCTCTTAGCAGGTTAAATTCTAACAGTGTGTACTCCTGGCTCCCATTATTTACATTTACTCGGTAACTCCCAACTTCAGGGATTGTTAGGACAGTATGCCTTGACTGTCCCTATTCTTGTCTAAAGAGACTTGCTAAGCTATGTACGGCAAATGACAAGGTTTAAGGATGGCCATTGTACCTACTGCTCTTTCGATAGACTGTAGTTTGGATGGTTTAATTACAGAGAAAAGAGTATTTCCTGCTCCCAAACCATCCAGGAGCTGAGCTCCCTTCCTCTATAATGCTTGTCTTCTAGGACAGTGGTTCCCAACCACTGCTCCACAGACTAGTGCTGGTCCGCGAACCACTGGCTGGTGAGTACTGGTGGCTCTGGGGGTAGGGGCTGGGGTACACCACCCAGTGACTCCCCTCCTGCCATGACTGTTGGTGGGGCAGGATGTGCCTCTCCCTCTCAGCCAACCAGGACCGGGCAGGAGCAGGGTCTCCTTCTGGACATGGAAGAACAATCCACTGCAAGGGAGGGCCGTGCAGATCCTGGCATGGCAGCCTTAGATCAGCCGTGACCCAGGCAACAGTGCTCAGATGGTGGCTTGGAGGCAGCGTAGGGCTAGGTGAGAGGGGTGGGGCAGGCACTGGGGAGGTCTAGGGGGTGGAGCTAATACTGAGGACTCTGGGGGCAGGGGCTAGAACTGGAAAGCTCTAAGGGGTGAGGGTCTCTAAGGGGCGGGGGGCAGACTCTGGGGGACAAGGCTCTGGGAGCAGGAGCTAGTAGTGGGGAGGAGCTACGGGGACAGGGCTGGCACTGGGGGGTGGCTCTGGAGATGGGGCTAATCATGGGGACTGGAGGCTGACACTGGGAGTGGGGCTTCTGGGGGTTTGGGTACATGAGCTATGAGAGCTACAGAGCTGCTGTGAACAGCCAGCTTCAGCTCCAGCAGCCGCCCACCATGTGGCGGGTGGTGGGGCTGAAGCCAGCTCCTGTACGGTGGCTCAGGGATTTGGGGTATACCCCTGCCCCAATTCCCGGAGCCACTGCAAACAGCCAGCTTCAGCTGTGGCAGTCTCCCGCCACATGGAGATTGCTAGAGCTGAAGCTAGCTTTTCACAGAAGCTCTGGGGACCAGGGCTTTTGGTGGACTGGTAATATTTTATTTACATATTTGCATATTCATTATTAAAAATAATGAATATACAAATAAAATGTTACTGGTCCGCCAAAAGTTTGTGAATGGGTTTGCTGGTCCATGGTATAAAAAAGGTTGGGAACCACTGTTTTAAAAGTTAGGGAATAAAGCTTTTTGTACATGCAATTTCTTGATGTATAGAAACAATGTTAGTATTTATGGATGCAACTGTTGGGAGTATTCTTTGTAACTGTTTTTGAGTATTCTTTGTAAATGGATATGGACCTCTACTATTTTATCATCTGACTCTGAATGTGTAGACAAAGGGAGGTTAGGCTGCTCTGGAAAATTACCACTGTGGTACTGTTGTCCTTAGATTTTTTTTTTGCTTTTATTTTTTATATTAATAATAATTAATAATGAAAGATTATCCGTGCAGAAAAGTGATGAGTTGAAAGATGAATGGTGTGGGAAATAACTTTTTTGTTTGTGTTTTTTTTCCTTTTCTAGTGTAAGCTAAACCTTTCACAGGTGTCATTAATTCCATATAAAAATCCACCTATTGTCTAGAGTTGTTGTCATGCTGGGATTGTTCTTCCTTGCTTCCAATAATTGATTTTAAGGGATTTATCTGATTTACTTTTGAATACTCTGTTTTGAAATGCTAAATAAATTCTAAAGATAAATTCCAGATGATGAGATTATTTCCACCCCAGATTTTTTATATTTATAAAATATAAATAAAAATGTAAGACATTTCAGTGGTTTTAGTTATCAGAGACTTGTCTTATTGTTCTGTTAGAATAACAAATCTGTTTAGCTATGTACTAAATGATAGTGCTTCTTTTTCTTCACTAATTAATTTACTACTAGGCCAGAAGAACCAGAAAGCAGTCTTGTATGCAATGCGCATTGAGATTCCTATGACATACACTGCCTTTTAAGATGTGAACTGTACACGTCTTAGTTCTCTTTATGCTTATTGCTTTTATACTGTGTTTATCCTACAGGCCTTGCAAGAGCCAAATCAGTCCCCAGCCACACATACTCTAATGAAGTGGTTACCCTGTGGTACAGACCTCCAGATGTCCTTTTGGGCTCAACAGAATACTCCACCTGCCTTGACATGTGGTAAGAATAGCATCCTTATACAAGATAATCCATCTAGGTGCTTGGGCTTCGGCTTACTGTAGAAAATATCTAGTAAGATTAATAGTGTACATAGACTGCCTGTGTGTGCTAATCCTTGTGGATTCTCCCAAATACTGCTTCCTGAGAACATCCCCCTGCCTGGGTATTCAGTACTTTACAGCTGTCCAGTAATGATACATTGACTAACATGAACAATAACAAAGAAGCAATTTAATCAGCATTGCATATCTTTTGTGGTCTTAATTTGAAATTCTGTTCTGCAGAAGGTAAATTTTCTCTCCTAATAAACAGGAAAAGGGGAAAGTGCAGCAATTCAACATACAAACAATGTAAGACAGTTTCACAGCTGTGTAACAGCAATAAACTATTGTTACAAATCCACAGCCCGTTCGGAGATTGCATTTGTCACTGTGCTGCTTGTCATGGTCATATCCACTCAGAACTTCAAAGCAATGGCAGGTATAAAAGCCAGAGTCTTCTGTTACAAAAAGCACAGCCCTGATATTTGGTCAACATCTACCTCAGCTATTAGTAGCATGTTGACTGTGTGGTGTCTTTGAAAGCCAAAGTAGTGGCTCTGAGGAGCCTTTCAGGAAAGTCTTCCATCCTAGGCCTTCTCAACATCTTCCAGAGTCTCATCTCTGCCCAGAGAGCAACCTGGGTTGATAGGAGAACAGTCAGAGTACAGCTGGTGATTCTGGGTGCATTAGAGAATAAAAATAGCCGATGGATCTGGGCATTTCTGTCAGCCAATCTTTGCATAGTTCATTTAGGTTTATCGTGAAACAGGAAGAACTCCATGTATTTAATTTATTTAAATTTGTCCTAAATAGGGATGTAAAATTGGTTAACTGGTTAAACTTTATGCCTTCAACGGGCATGCCCAGGTCAGCCACAGACGGTGCTATTCTGGATGGTCAGAAAAGCCCCTGTCTGATGGGCCCCAGGGGACAGGAGCAGCTCCATGCCTGGGGGAGCTGCTCCAACACCCTCTGATTAATCAGAACCAGTAAGCCTTACCTATTAACGGTGAGGCTTACCAGTTACCCTTTCACATCTCAAGTTCTAAATAATCAGATGTTACCTCTGTGTGCATTGTATGTTTAAGCATGAAATGATGGGGCTCCTAAGTTTAGCTAGAGGAAGCCAAAGAACTTCAAGAAAAATGTCAACATTTCAAAAAAAGAAAGCATTTAAAAATATTTTCTGTTCGAAATTTGTAAATAGGTTTGTTAATATTTCTTTATTTTTTGATGAAAATAAAAAACTGCAAAATTTTCATTTTGGTTGAAAATTTTTAGCTATTTTGAGAAGACAAACATTCAATAAAACGTTTTGGGGGTTTGATCAGTTTTCAGTTTTTGAAAACTTTTCTTTAGCCAGAAATGGTTTTTGAAGGCCAAAATGTGTTTGGCTCTTGATTTTTCATTGATAACTGAAATATTTTCATTTTGATTTTTTTAAAGCAAAACATTTTGGAGATTGTTGACAAAATAATGCACTGTTATCAAGTATTTTACTAAAAACGGCATGGAAAATTCATCTGAGTGGTACAGAGTTACTGTGCCAAAGAGAGAGGCCAAAGTAAACAAAAAATATGCAACAGAGATACTGTACACTTACTATAAATGCAACCTGGATGTTGAAAAACCTTTGGTATTTCACCCCTCCCTCCAAGAATGTTAAATTAAATTATATTATGGTTATCATCATCAAGTGGTTCAGGTGTATTTGTGTGTTCCTTAGAACTAAATGCAAGAATTGCGTCTGTGCTTGTGGGTTCCAGGGTGAGCTGCTCCAAGAACCCTTAATGGTGTCTAGAAATTTTATCTCTGCATCCTATCCCATATCAGAGAGAGTGGACTCTAATAAATAAATGCCAAACCCAGGAAGGACCCAACCAGTATAATCCTATTCCATGTCTGAATCTCAGAGGTGAGGCAAGGGTGTTTGCTAGAGGGCACAAAAAGAAAATATTGATATCCCCTGAAGGGAGGACCTTTAACACTGGCTCAGAAGAGATCCTGAGTGCCCATGGAGAATGCTTTATTCCAAATGAAAGATGAGGCAGTGCTAATTGTACCTGCAAAGCCATGAATCCAGAGCACCAGCAAATATATTTTTTTCTGATACTAAGCAATCATGGGATCAGAATATTATTCAGAGCACACATTTCACTTAGAAGACACATGAAAGGACTGAACAGTGATTTCCCGCCAGTCCCTCCCATGTTCTCCAGTTTATATGCAGGAAGGAAATGCAGGAGATATTGCATGTTGAAATAATTTTTATTAAGTTGGTAATCTAACAGTAAGGCAAGTTGCAGAAGAGATAGTATGGGAATTCTTTTACAGCAGCAGCATATTGCTGGGCTACAATAACGTTAAGACTAAGTAATGATTTCCCAGAATGAAGAGAGAGAATCTTTGCTTACATCAGATGCCAGCACGTGTGTTTGACATTAACATCCGTGTACAATTATTAGTGTTATATCCTTATGCCAAATATTGTATGCCATTCTGTGTCCTGATTATCATATACATTTTCATTACAAAAACAGTCACTTTACAGAGATATTAAATTAGTATTGAGAAAAAATACACTTCTGTTTTTTCATTTATAAAAGAGATCATAGGGCATTGACTTTAGCCATGACAAATGACATTTAATCGAGTTTCCCAAGGAATGGAACATGGATCTGCTATATGAGACCAGCTGTATGGGAGAAGTGCAAATATTAACCACTGGTCAGTGGCTGGGAAGCAGGTGGCAGTGACTGCGGGCTATTTTTATGCTTCATTTGCCATAGTAGAGCATTAGGATAGTAACTAAAAGCTAATGATCCACATACAGTATTACATTTTTCCAGCTTTCTGTTTAAATAGCCGCTGGCAGTAAAAGAATATTAATGAAGACATACATACATTAATGATGTCAGTTAGTGATGGAAATCAATACAATGTGCGTTGTGATGTATTGCTGTCAGCATATGATACTGTGGTATTGTGTGAACATATTATGCCACCTGAGACTGCATTGAGGAGTTTTGATAGCCTTCGATGCGCTTTTTTTTTCCTGATGAGGACTTACTGGTAGGTAAAAGTACATTTCTCAGTGCCTCTGGTATAAATATTCTTAATCCATGGATTTTACAGTCCTCTGAAAATCAATGCAAGGGAAATAATTTTTAAGCTTCCATACCTAGAGGTTTTATAACATACTAAGAATCGTATATAGGTAATGTAAAAAAACTGGCATACTTCTCTGTTGTGCTCATTTCTTACAAACAAGGACTGAGCTTTAGTAGCCAAGATCCTTGATTTAAGCATGGTACCAATGGTTGTGATTCTCACAAACACTACTACATCCGTGTTTTTAAAAGCTGAAGTCATTATGGATATTTTATTTTAACATGTAGCAGCTCTAATCTATATTTGCCTAACAGCTGGCAACTATCTTATTATATCTGATACATACTACAAACTGTTTTATTTTAAAAGATACAATGAATGCTTGACAGGCTATGAACTGCTAGTCATTATACAGGTAAAATAAACAATATGCCCATTTTTAAAATTTAATTTTATTAATTAACATAATCTGTGCTTATCACTGTGGAAGAAATTGCTTATAACTTTGCCTGTCAAATTCAATGCAATTGCATATTAGATCACTGTTCTCTTCATTACATCTCTGCCTTCAGAATTATATTTAACTTTGTGGTAACTGGGATGACAATGATTTCAGTGCTGATCTCAGTTTAAAGAAATGCTATCTCAAGGTTTATGTCTTGTGTATCCACAATCCATTGCAACATTCACTTCCCCACAATTAAGATTGTATATAAAAATGGTCTTCTATAGGACACAGGTGCATTAAATTTATATATTTATTTGCATGGGGGACATTGCAGAAACATCTTTATTCCACTTCCCCTCTAAACAGTTTTCTATGAAAAAGTCTGGTACTAGTTGTTTGTTGAGGTCCAAAAGAGAGAGCAAACACTAGGAGAAATTGGTTACTTTGCCCTGATGCTCCCTACCGTAACAAGTTTTAGCCCAGAAAAATGCTAATCCGTAAGAGGTCAGGATCCTGTGATAACCATCAAGATATTTTTAATTAAACTTCCAGAGAAGACACTGACAATGAGAAGTTTTATCAGATGAATTAATCTGTGATTGGAAAATTCTCCTGGGGTCAGCTGCATTTGAGAAGCCTCTTTTGTTCATAGCTGTTGGAAAGTCATTTAATTTTAGTTTCCTGTTCCTGAAGAATATTTTCTTTAGTTTGGGACTATGCATTTACCAGATCTATCAACAAAGGTGAATCAAAGGTGTATGTTTCATATGTGGTAGAGAATTCTGTTTTGAGATGTGCGTATTTCAAAATGGAAAACACAAACTCCCTGCGAATAGGAAACACATTAAATAGGAAAATTTTGCTGGACAAATGTTGCTCAATTTAAAATGAGACTCACTTCAAATATGCTCGAGCACTTCTGTGTTCTGTTTCTCAAAATCTGGACAATTGAGTTTACTTACACACATTCACACACAAAGTAATCTTGCAAATGGAATGTGGAATGGAACATTGCAGCAGTGGAAGGGGAACCACAGAACTAAGCCTCAAAACTTTATATTTTAGGCAGTTAAACAAACCAGCAAAGAATTCTGCAGATGTTTTTTTTCCAGGTCCAACATCCCCTTCCATTGCATACCCTGCTGTGTGTCCCTTGCTCTCTGTCTGTGACTCAGGTTGCTTTGTCTACCTAGCTCGACTCTCTGAGGTCACTGTAGACCTTCCTTTTTAGGTTCTTAAAGTCCAGACCTAGCAAATGATCTTGGACAGTTGTCTCATTCACTGCTGTCATGATGCTATTTCCCCAGTGGCTGGTCACGGAACCCAGTTCCATGCTCTGCTCTGATTTCCAGCCTGGAGACTTGTTAAACAGCATCTGAGGTCTTCACCCAGAGCCAGCT